AGAGGCTCAAATCAAACAAAACAAAAAGATAGCTATTGGAAGAAGGGTGACAAGCAAAGCAAATGGAAAGGCGAGCAAACACAAATTTCTGGTGGTAATAATCCAACTTGCATAATTTGCAAAAAAATGAATCATGAATCAAATGAGTGCTACTTTAGATGCAAAAGGTGCAAGATCCCCAATCATTCTCAAAGGGATTGTTGGTTTCAAAATAAAGAGATGACAGAAAGAAAAAGTGCAGCAAACTTTTCTCAAGAGAATGAAAAGGAAATTCTGTTTTATTCTCAAAATTATGAAAATGGAGCTCAAAGCCCTTGGTATTTGGATAGCGGTTGTAGCAATCACATGACGGGGAATCGCGACATCTTTGTGGACCTTAATCCAAATATTACTTCACAAGTAATTCTTGGCGATGGAACATGTAGAGATGCGGTAGGAAAAGGCACCATTGCTGTCCAAATTAAAGAAGGTAACAAGAAACTCATCACAGATGTTCTTTATGTTCCCAATCTTTCTCATAATCTCCTAAGTGTTGGACAACTTATTCAAAGTGACTTCTCTGTCCACTTTGATGATGGTGCATGTAAAGTTTTTGACAAAAAGAAAAATATTTGTGTGGCAAATATTGAAATGAAGAACAAGACATTTCCTCTTATGATGCCACTAAATGAGAATTGTGCACTCAAGGCAAGAGACGAAGATTTGGCGTATTTGTGGCATTTACGATATGGTCATCTTCATGAAAGAGGCCTTCGTTTACTCCAAATGAAAAACATGGTGACGGGACTTCCTAACATCCAACACATAGACAAAATGTGCGAAGGATGCATCTATGGGAAATTGCATAAGTTGTCGTTTCTAAAAACTTCATGGAGAACGAAAGCACCACTTGAGCTTGTGCACTCGGATATTTGTGGGCCAATGCAAACTCCCACTTTTGGAAACAAGAGATATTTTATTCTCTTTGTTGATGACTTCACAAGAATGATATGGGTTTTCTTCCTCAGTCAAAAATCTGAGGCATATTCCATATTTCTTCAATTCAAAGCTCAAGCAGAAAGGCAAAGTGGTTTTTTGATAAAAACTTTAAGGACCGATCGTGGAGGTGAATATCTCTATAATCCTTTCATGGAATATTGCAGAAAAAATGGCATCAAAAGACAATTAACTGTGAGTCGAACTCCGCAACAAAACGGCGTGGCCGAAAGAAAAAATCGCACAATTGTTGAAATGGCAAGAAGCATGCTAAAGGGCAAAGGACTTCCAAATCTGTATTGGGCAGAAGATGTAAATACGGCAGTATACATTCTCAATCGGTCTCCAACAAAGGCTGTACGGAATAAAACTCCAGATCGAAGCATATTGAACTACGTCATCACTTCATTCGAGATTTGGTAAGTCGAGAAGAAATTTACATGGAATTTATCAACACAAATGATCAGCCAGCAGACATTTTAACAAAGGCAGTCACATTTGACAAGTTCGACAAGATCAAGGAAAAACTCAAGATTACAAATTAAGAGGGGGTGTTAAATGTGGCATTAATTTGTAATCTTAGGAAATAAATAAGGTTACATGCACTTGAAGAAAATGTATCAGGAAAATACATGATGCAAATTCATGAATTATTAGGTGTCCATTTATATTCCCATGTCTCTAGGGTTATCCATGTGGTCCTATAAATAGAGGTCATTCTTGTAGTCTCATTGTAAGAAAAAAAAGAAGAAAACATTATTGAGTGTGCTGTAGCAACTCAAAAACTATCAATAAAAATTCAAGTTTTTCTTCAACACTTCGTTTCCGCACTAACATTTCAGACATGAACTCGGCAGAACTTAAGATTTTAGATGGGAATTTGGTGCTTATGGATAAGTCCCAGGTTTCAATTTGGTCTACAAATGTAAACTTGACAACCTCAAATTCTGTAGTCGCAGCTCTAGGTGACAATGGAAATTTAGTATTGAGAGATGAGTCAGAGCCTAGGACAAGTGAAGGATTTTGGCAAAGTTTTGATAATCCAACTGATACGTTGTTGCCCGGTAGCAAGATTGCCTATAATAAACACACAAAAAAAGAGAAAGTCCTCACTTCTTGGAGAAATTCTGAGGATCCTGCAGCTGGGCTTTTCTCCAATGAATTAGATCCAAATGGGAGTCAATGTATTATAAGATGGAATAGGACTAAATGGTACTGGACTAGTGGACGTTGGAATGGGCGTTTTTTCGGTTCAGTCCCCGAAACGAGTCTGTACAATATTTATAATCATAATTATGTTGACAACGTTAATGAGAGTTACTACACTTATTCTCTTAATAGTCGTTCCATTAAATCTCGATATGTGATGGATGTTTCCGGGCAAATTAAGCTGAAATTGTGGTATCAGGAGAAGTGGGTTTTGTTTTGGTCTCAGCCTGGGCATCAATGTGATGTGTATGCTTATTGTGGGGCATTTGGTACCTGCAATCAGAATTCTTCGAACTTCTGTTATTGTTTGCCCGGATTTAAGCAAAGGTCAGAAAATGATTGGAATTTGAAGGATTATTCGGGTGGTTGTGTGAGAGAGATCATTTTGAACTGTACAAATGACAGAAAAGACAAGTTTCTGGCGAATAGCCTTGTTAGGTTACCTTCAAATTCACAAAGAGTGATGGCAGGGAGTGCTGGAGAGTGTGAATCTATCTGCTTGAGTAATTGCTCTTGTACAGCTTACTCTTACGAATACAATGCATGCCTGGTTTGGAATGGGGAACTAATGGATTTACAACGACCCACAGCATATAATGGTAGTGAAAGAACGATCCACATTAGACTTTCCCGCTCTGCATCTCAGTTTTCAAAAAATAAAAAAAGTAAAGTACTTGTAATCAGCTTTGTTGTGGGTTCTGTTGCTGTTGTTATGGTTCTGTTGGCCACCGTAATGATATGCATATATCACTGGCATAAATCTGGGACTACGAAAGCAGTTGAGGGATCATCGTTAGCATTTAGGAACAAGGACACATTGCAAATTAAAACCAAAAATTCCTCATATAAGTTGGAGGGAGATGACAAGAGTGGTGTCGGTGTTCCTTTCTGCAGTTGGGAAAGTATAATAGCTGCGACCCAGAACTTCTCAGACATACACAAACTTGGACGTGGGGGATTTGGTCATGTTTACAAGGTTTAACTATTGTTCTCTCCATAATTGTTTGCTACAACAATTTTTGTGCTTCCTTATCTATTGATTCTAGCTCACTACTCTTGCAGGGAATGTTTCCTGGAGGGCAAGAAATTGCAGTGAAAAGGTTGTCAAGCTGTTCTTTGCAAGGCATTAACGAATTTCAAAACGAAATTGTATTGATAGCAAAGCTTCAACACCGAAACCTTGCTCGCCTTTTGGGCTACTGCATGAAGGAGAATGAAAAGATCTTACTCTATGAATACATGCCCAACAAAAGTTTGGATGCCTTTATATTTGGTTAGTTCATGGAAAATGATATGTTTTATATTTGCAATTTTCATTTTAACTGATAATACTAATTTTTTTTTTTTTTGGCAAATACTAGATAAAAAATTATGCACGTTACTAGACTGGAAGAAGCGGTTTGGCATCATCTTGGGGATAGCAAGAGGGGTTCTTTATCTTCATCAAGATTCAAGGTTGAGGATAATTCATAGAGATTTGAAAACAAGCAACATTCTGTTAGACGAAGAGATGAACCCCAAAATTTCAGACTTCGGTTTGGCAAGAATTGTTGAGGGAAAAGGAACAGAGGCAAGCACCAATAAAGTCACAGGAACTTAGTAAGTGCCAATTAAAATGATATAATTACACTAAGACTATTGAAAGCACAAAAATTTAAAAAAAAAAAAAATGAACTTTTCATATCTTATCTGATTATAATGATCTTGTACATACACTCTTCACATTTTGGCCTATAGCAGCAATTCAGTTCTTTGTTCCTCTGTGCCATGTGCAATGATATTAAAACTGACGAATTTCTATTAAGCTATGCATATGTATTATGTATATAGACACCGTTTATACGCATGATATTGCGTCATATATACACACACACGCGCATATATACTAACTTCTAGTTACCTTGATCAAGTGGTTATATGTCTCCGGAGTATGCATCAGATGGACTATTCTCTATAAAGTCAGATGTATTTAGTTTTGGAGTTGTTGTACTCGAGATAGTCACCGGAAAGAGAAACACCGGATTTTACCAATCCTCAGAAGACTTGAATCTCTTGGGTTATGTAAGTAGATAAATTCCTCCATTTATATACAATATTTTAGCCAATTCATTGTCTCTATTATTTTGAAGCTATTCCTACAGGTGTGGAGATTGTGGAGTGAAAACAAGGCACTCGATTTGGTGGACCCAATACTGCTTGAATCTTGTGAGAAATTTGAAGTTATAAAGAGCATTAATGTTGGGCTTTTGTGTGTGGAAGAAGATCCCAGTGAGCGCCCCACTATGTCAAATGTAGTCCTAATGCTTAGTGGCAAAACTATTTTTGTTCCAGTTCCCAAACAACCAGCTTTTGTAATGAGAAAACGTGTTTTTAGCACATCTTCCTCATCTTCTAATAGACCAGATTCAATTTCCAATGAATTGACAATGTCTGATCCACAAGGGAGATGAGGAATTTGCTTATTTGCTTGCATTAGTGATGTTTGTTTGTATGTTCAACCAAAATTTGCACCAATTAGTTCCTTAATATCCTCTAGAAATTGGTGTATGTAGAACTATGCTGAGTAAGATAGCAATCTCTTGTACACTTAATTTTACATCTCTTTTATGTATTTATTTTTGGGGTATTGGTAAGAGAGAACTAACCATTCATATACAAATATTCTATTGTTATTGAATAAAATAAACTGTGTATATAAAAACAAACAGTTATGTAATGCCATTGCTAGAAACAATAGAGTATGTTGTTCTGCTAAATTTTAATCTTCCAACTACTGAACTCTTCTTGTACCTTTATCTACAATGGTTACATCAGATATTGAACAGGATATTGATGGATCCCTAGTCTTGTCCATGCCTCCTCTGTGAAAATCCTAAAGACATTCATAGTTTGTTATTTTGTTTTACCAAACATTTGGTTGAAGGTTGGCTAGCTGCAACAAGATTGTGCACTTTTAGAATTTGACTCAAATTAAATTATTCTTATTTTTTGTGAGAAAAAGAAATGGTGAAGAGGTAAGTTTTATTGTACTAAGTGTGTAGTACTTGTATTCTCGCCAACTCAAATTTCTGCAAGTTTACTGCAAATGCTATGAGCTATTTGAGAAAGAGATTTGTTAGTTTTAGATTCATGCTCCTCAATTTTACTCTACTAGACCATTCGTATGTACTTTGTTGGTAATCACATCACTAATTTTTCATATATTTGAGAATTACTATTGATAATAGTTAATATTTATTGAATTGTTGTTGCCTTGTGCTCTATTTATATATAAATTTAACCAAATTGATTTTTTTTATTTATTTATTTTTTGTTTCAGCCATCTTTATCAAAAATTCTTGATTCGCCTTCACTACAGTTGTATATTTGGCTTGTGGAAGACTTTTCTGAAGTTTTTTTGTTAGAAAATTAAAAAACTTTTTGTCTTCTATGTACAACCTGGACATGATCGTCCCTTTGCTATCCTGAAAGACCTAATGCGAAGCAAGATAATTATAATTTTCATGGAAGGGTAGATGTTCTAGTGAATGAAGATTAAGAAACTTAGCCTTGTTTTTTCTGTGATTTGAGACCATTGGGGGGGGGGACATGTTGGTAGCTGGTCATCTTTCTGTGATGGAGGGGGGTTTCTCGCTTGTTGTAGCTAAAGCAATGGCACTCCAAGCTGGTCTGATGTTCGCCCTAAGATACGATTTCATGATGAATGTATCTTAGTATTAGATGATATTGGTACTCGAGATGGTACATGTTGCTATATTCCTAACAAGAGGAATACCATAACCATGGGTGGAGCCAGAAAATGATATTAGGATGGGTTGAAATTTAAAAAACTTTTAATGAACTTACGCTACAAGAAATCGAGTTTCAGAGGCTATTTTTGTAACATTCACGATAAAAAGTATACGACATTCAATGAAATAAAAAAGTTTAGATGTCTCACATTAAGATATTCCACTAAATTTTTGTATTTTTTTCACCAAATAGAAAATCGATGCTTACCTTCAAAAATATAAACTAACCGAATCATGATAGAATTAAGCAAAAATACATATCCACCAATGAGCATTTAAAAAATTACATAATGAGTACTCTTCTAGTAACTTTGAGAACCCATCTTTCCAAACAACTGAAAGTTTTAACGAATATTCTTTTTATTGTCAATATCAAATTTATAGTAAGTTATTTATTTTGATCATAATATCTACTTTATGGTCAAAATAAGTATTTTTTTTTTTTATAAATTTGAATTAGTAATGAATGAAAACATATGTAATTTAGGAAAAAACGTAGTGTCTCTAACTATTAGAATAAATAATTTACTTTTAGATCTAATCAATACAAATTATCAGTAATAAAATTTACTTAATAATTATAAGTAAATTTTAGTCAAACATGCATTAAATAGAATATCTAATTTGACAATAAAATATTCACATTTCATGAATGTCTTGAAAAGAGTAATTAATAATTGTAGTGTCTTTAATACAATTTAATACTTGAACATTGGACTTGGGTTGAGATTTAATTTAGAGCTAGACTAATGCTAACATCTGGGCCACAATTCTAAAATCTTTGCTTAGAAAATAATAGGGAAAATTAAATAAAACCAGGTACTTGAAATTTCAAATTCAAAGTTCAAGGGGCAAGTTTATTTGTGCAAAAATTAGGTATTATATCTAATTAATTCCCCCAATTAAATTAAAAATCCTAATCACTTCTCCCAAATTTCAAACCCAATTCCATCACCTTCTCCTCTTCTCTCGACATCGGCTTCTCTCCTCTCGACGTTGACGACCCATTCAACCACTCCAAACGCGACGAAGAAGATGCGCCGGTGCCGACACAGCACCCATCTTCTCTCCGACATTTGTTTTGTGAGCCCCGCAACCATGGTCTTGGTGTGTCAGCAACGCCTTTGCGGCAGCACGAGGCGACGCTGGCATAGGCACTTGAGCTGTTGAAGGCGAAGGCTAGCCTCCATTCATTGGGTTGAATGTGCATTGAATTCAAAACCTTTTTCTCTCTATTTCATTAAAAATTACACATTAAATTGGCATTCTTAACTTGCGCAAGATTCTCGTTATTCAATATATAGTGTACTTGAAAATCGGAGAGTGAATTTGCTAAATTGTAGTTGCTCATCTTCGAAGCGAGTGATAGGGTTGCAACTACCAGAATGTGAGCAATCCAAGGCTTTTTTCCTAGATTAGTATCAATTTTAATACATTGCTCACTAATACATAATCAAATAATAGTATGAATATTTACTAGAATTTCTTGTTGTGCGGTAGTGTTGTGTGGTGTGGTGCAGTCATTCGTTGTGTTTTGGTGGTTGTTGTTTGCGATGGTCGTGGTGGTGTTGTGGCGGGCTTCATTTCGTACTGAATATTGGGTTGATCGTACAACACTTTGTTGTGGCGATATTGATTAATGGAATACTATTTTGCTCAAAATGTATTGATTCACAACATGATTTGACATTCTCTGAGCAAGTTAACTATATCACGGTCCGTTGGCCTGCCTATGTATTCATAAGTCCAACTCGCATTAAATCTTTCTACCCCCCAGGAACCTTCATGGTGTAAAAAGCAGGCTAGCATCATTTGACGAGTAGAACAGGAAAAGTATAAGTGAATGGCCTTTCTTCAGTAAATTCCATGCGATTGACAAAAAACACTTCTTCTTCTTCTCTCTCTCTCATCTTCTGCAGCTATGATCCCGAAGAATACTTGTTGGTTTATTCTCTCTGTGTTGTTTTTCCTATGTTTCTCTGTAAACGTCGATCATTCTCAAGGAGCTGACAGCGTTACAGCAAATCAGCCTCTCTCCGGAAGCTAGACTATTGTCTCATCTGGTAACATCTTTGAACTAGGATTCTTCACACCAGGTATTTCTTCCAGTTATTATATTGGAATTTGGTACAAAAATGTTACTCCAATAACCATAGTTTGGGTAGCAAATAGGGAGACCCCCATTTCAGACATGAATTCTGCAGAATTTAAGATTTTAGTTGGGAATTTGATGCTTATGGATGAGTCCCAGGTTTCAATTTGGTCCACAAATGTAAACTTGACAACCTCAAATTCTTTAGTGACAACTCTAGGTGATAATGGAAATTTAGTTTTGAGAAATGAGTCAGAACCTAGGACAAGTGAAGGATTTTGGCAAAGTTTTGATAATCAAACAGATACGTTGTTGCCTGGTAGCAGCCTTGCCTATGATAAACGTACAAGAACAAAGAAAGTTCTCACTTCTTGGAAAAACTCTGAGGATCCTGCACCAGGGCTTTTCTCTTTTGAATTAGATCCAAATGGGAGTCAGGTTATTATAAGATGGAATAGGACTGCCAGTGGAGCTTGGAATGGGCTCTTTTTCAGTTTAATCCCTGAGATGAGGCTGAACAATATGTATAATCATAGTTATGTTGACAACGTTAATGAGAGTTACTACACATATTCTTTTTATAATCCTTCCATTAAATCTCGATACGTGATGGATGTTTCCGGGCAAATTAAGCTGACATCATGGAATACGTGTTGGGAATCTACTTATACATGCACAGCGGAATTTAAAATAATTTTCGATTCCCACCAAGAATCGCCTTTGTGTTTAGATAGAAATTGTGATAAGATTGTACCTTTTTCAGATCTGCAATCCTTTTGCTTTTCTTTTCATTCCACAACCTTAATTCGCCACCACAGCTATCCAATTGTCCAGCCTCCAACGGTGATCCACACAAAGAATATGATTGCAGCCTCTAGGGTTTTTCTTGTGCCAGCAAGAAATAATGAAAACCTTAATGGACCTCAAACCCTAGTTATGTATTTATATAAACCCAAACAGGCTCGGCCCGGTCCGGTCCAATAATTAATTAATCCAATTAATTAAACCCGATCCGTGAATTAATTAATCCAATTAATTAATTCGAAAATATAAATAAAAAATCCAATTAATTAATTTATCCAACGATTGTTAAATTAACCAATTGGCATTGCAATCTTCCAATTCTCTTTTGTGTGTGACCCATTAGGTTCCCGACCACGATACCTAACGACGTGAAATATTATTTTGATCTAATCAAAATTGATAAATTAAAACACCCTTTTAATTTATCGTCAATTCACATTTGCCGTCTCTAATTGACATCTAGCAATGTGTCAGGGCAATACATGTGACGGAAAATGTCACGTGGTATGACAAAACCAAATTCGTTCGTTTACCGTGAAACTATAATCCCTTCGTCAATATGATCCGATCAATTACGAGATATGGAGTTGTGTCAATCTCGATCATCGATCATATCTTTCACTTCACTATTAAGTCAATATAAGTCGAAAACTCCTTTTCAACTTATGAGTACACCTTGGCCAAGGATTTCATCATTGACTTAATTAAATGAAACGCAGATCATAATCTTCTACTATCTAAGAGTGACAAATCCTTTATTGATCAATCACAACCTTCATACGATTCTTGACATACCCGAACGATGTTGTATTAGCGGCCCTTTTCAGAGCAACATCCAACACCGCCAAAGTATGACTGTCCTCATATAAGGTACCATGACGACCTCAAGTCAAAGGACCAATTTCACTACCGAATGTTAGAGATTAACCACTGACACTCAGATAGTTATCCATGTGAAATCTCTCGACGGGTCTCCAATGTTTTGTTCTATAACAAACATCCACGTGTTCATTTAAGTGTCACTATACTTTAACTTGTGAGATCAGCTACTTACTTCACAAGTAAGAAATGCCACACGTGATGGTCTATCCGTAATAACGATATCCGTATCTCGTTATTACTTACGATCACGGATGATTTAAGATTCAATCAGATGTAATTTGTATCTCATAATCACAACTCCTTGTGATTAACAAATTACAAATATTTGAATCTACGGACTCTATTATTTATTTAATTGTCTATTAATTAAATAATAGATCTGCCATTTAATTGCATTACTTATATATAAAAGTATTTATGTCCAAAGTTGATTGGACCTAGGGCATAACACTTACAATACGAAGGAGTGGGATTTTTTTGGTTTCAACCTAGGCAACAATGTGATGTGTATGCTTATTGTGGGGCATTTGGTAGCTGCAACCAGAATTCATTACACTTCTGTAATTGTTTACCCAGATTTAAGCAAAGGTCGAAGAATGATTGGAATTTGAAGGATTATTCAGATGGATGTGTGAGAAAGATCCTTTTGAACTGTTCAAATGATAGAAAAGACAAGTTTCTGGTAAATAATCTTGTTAGGTTACCTGCAAATTCACAAAGAGTGATGGCAGGGAGTGCTGGAGAGTGTGAATCTATCTGCTTGAGTAATTGCTCTTGTACAGCTTACTCTTACAAAGACAATGCATGCTTGGCTTGGAATCGGGAACTAATGGATTTACAACAACACGCAGAAAATGATGGCAATAAAAGAATGATCTACATTAGACTTTCTGCCTCTGCATCTGAGTCTTCGAGCACCAAAAAAAGTAAAGGGCGTGTAATAGGGGCTGTTGTGGGTTCTGTTGCTGCTGTTATGGTTCTATTGGCCATTGTCATGATATGCATAAGTCGCAAGCATATATCTAGAACTACAAAAGAAGTTGAGGGATCATTGGTAGCATTTCGGTACAAGGATGACTTTTAAATTGCAACTAAAAATTCCTCGGCTAACTTAGGGGGAGATAACGAGAGTGGTATTGGTGTTCCTTTCTGCAGTTGGGAAAGTATAATAGCTGCAACCGAGAACTTCTCAGATGTACATAAACTTGGATGCGGGGGATTTGGTCCTGTTTACAAGGTTTAACTATTGTTTTATCCATAATTGTTTGCTAGAACAAAGTTGTGCTTCCTTATATATTGATTCTAGTCCACAACTCTTGTAGGGAATGTTTCATGGAGGGCAAGAAATTGCAGTGAAAAGGTTGTCGAGCTGTTCTTTACAAGGCATTAACGAATTTCAAAATGAAATTGTATTGATTGCAAAGCTTCAACACCGAAACCTTGTTCGCCTTTTGGGCTACTACATGAAGGAGAATGAAAAGATCTTACTCTATGAATACATGGCGAACAAAAGTTTGGATGCCTTCATATTTGGTTAGTTCATGGAAAATGATGTGTTCTATATTGCTATTTTCATTTAGTTTCAATCAATAATAATTTTTTCACATATGCTAGATAAAAAGCTATGCATGTTATTGGATGGGAAGAAGCGGTTTGACATCATCTTGGGGATAGAAAGAGAGGTTCTTTGTCTTCATCAAGATTCAAGGTTAAGGATCATTCATAGAGATTTGAAAACAGGCAACATTCTGTTAGACGAAGAGATGAACCCCAAAATTTCAGACTTCAGTTTGGCAAGAATTGTTGAGGGAAAAGGAATAGAAGCAAGCACCAACAAAGTTGTAGGAACCTAGTAAGTGGCAATTAAAAGATCTTATCTGTACGAATTCCACTTTTTGGTCAGTCAGTTCTTGGCTCCTATGTGCCAAGTGCAATAATAAACAAAAATGAATTTTTATTATGTAATCTGTATACAGACACCTAATATACCCAAGATCATATTGTGTCATATATCTATGTACATACTAACTTGTAGTATCTTGGTCCAGTGGTTATATGTCTCCGGAGTATGCATCAGATGGACTATTCTCAATAAAATCAGATGTATTTAATTTTGGAGTTGTGCTCGAGATAGTCACTGGAAAGAGAAACACGGGATTTTACCAATCTACAGAAGACTTGAATCTCCTGGGTTATGTAAGTAGCTAAATTCATCCATTTATATGCAACATTTTAGCCAATTCGTTCTCCAACAATGGGTTGACGGTATCTATTCCACAAGTGCGTTAAGGAACTTTTTCTTATTTCCTTCCACTCGTTTTATGCTCAACAAGAATCTCCACGAATTTGTTTTATTAACAAGAAGTCCAGATATGCAAGTTTCCTCTCATATCTAGTTGTTTGTACAATTTTTCCTTGTATTATGTGCTGAAGGATTGAATAGACATGTAATAAATGATGTCTAAAATGTCGCGTAATGATAATTTTTTTCTTCTATGAATTAGACAAGTGAAAAAAAAAACAATAAATAAATAAAAATAGAGTTGTCTTCTTTTGGCTCCATCACGCTAATTCTTGACTTTATATACGTATCCAAACAACAAAGCAATGGTTCTCTCACTCTCATCTCCTCCATTCCCTTCAGATCGCTGGCTAGCACATGTAGAAAACAAAGATCTGTCTTTTCTCCTTCTATCTGGTGATATTGGGTCACAAAGGAGGGGTGAGCAGTGGTCGAAATCTCACCAGCTTGAATATCAGAAAAATTCAAAATTGTTGAGTTCAATTAGCGCATTGGATATCACTGTATTAAGAAATTTACAATCAATAATACTAGAAAAATATTACCGCGGACTGAGGTAATTGTAGTCTTGTTACAAATCTAACAATACACTTAAATATCATATCCGGTCTAAATTCATTTCTCATCCTACAATACACTATTCGGTTGGTTTAAAAAAGTACAAAGACTAAGATCATCTCAATCTACTATGATATTATTATTCTAATATATATATATATATATATATATATATATATATATATATATATTGTAGGGAAATGCAGTGAACCCACGTAGCAATAATAGTTCCGAAACTCACAAAATATTGAATCACAATCTTAAGAAAGCTAAAATTCCAATTTGACACTGACGCAATAATTTATTGAATTAAAGAACCAAGACAATCGCAAACAATATCTTAACCCTGTGATCACGAAAATTATGAACCTTGCTATGAATTTGTTGAACGCCAGAAAAAAGTATGAATTTTTGATAAGTTTGGATAGTTTAAATGCCACAAATATTGAAAATATTTAATAAGTTCTATTTAATTAAGAACAAGATAGAAATTAAAAAATTTCACATTATGAATAATTCTCAGAAATTAATGCTTTTATTGTACTTTGAATGAGCGTTTTATAAGCATAAAATAAATTCTTAATCAAAACAAACTCTAATTCTAAAGACAAATTCAAATAAACTAGAAAATTACAAAACAAATCTAAATAAAACGAAAATACCCTTAAATTAATTCAAAATATAAAAATGCAAAAATGGACCCCTAAACAATCAATTTTGACCTCCAAATTTCGTATTGTCATCCGACAAACTTGTGTAGAATCAAAAGACGTTTTCAGATTGTACTCATGGCCGAAAATTCGACAATCGAGTCAAAAGTTATATGCTTTTGTATGTATCCTATAAGTATTTGTGCATACTTTATATTCCTTCCATTTTTTGATTGATTTAGGATCTTCTCTTCTAGTTGATCCGTATTACTTCGAAACATTCAATGGATCTTTGTCAGCTTGCCGTCCATGATTCTTGTCAACATGTTATAGAAAAACATGAAAAATAATTTATTTTAAAGATTGTGAGGTTAAAAATGACAATAAAGAAATGTGACTATCTAAAAATCACTAATAAATATGCACTTAAGTTTTTATACACCCTATTCGTCACTATACACATGCACCCTTCATATATTGAATTTGATAAATATTGGATACGAAAATTACATTCACGTTAGACAAAAATAAGTAAAATTCAAAATCATGTTAGATAAGAAGAATATTATGAGTATGTTTGGTAAAAAAAAAAATTAGATTATAAGTTATGAATTTTATAGAAAGTGTGAAATATAATAGTACATTTGATTGCAAGCATGAAATTTGTATAGAAAGGCAATTCTAGTGCCTAGAATAGAACTTATTTGCATAGAAATCATTAATTAAATGTGTTTGATTGATTTATTTTTCAATCTGAAAAATATTATATTTATCCATTTTTATTGGTAGATAGACGAGAGAGGTGATAGTGAAAGAGAGAGTGAATTACCTGGAAAATAAAAATCACTCCTCCTGAAAAAATGTTTTTTTATTGTTTTTGAGGAAAATATGATCACGTGACTGAAAGTTATAAAATAATTTTCATGGAAAAAATTCTGAATTAAACACTCAAAAAGTAGGAATTTGGATGGAAAAAATTGATATTTTTTATGAAAAATAAAGTTAATCAAACACACTCTAAGTGAATAATAGTTATGAGCTTTATGAAACTTTGGGGTGAGCATCTAATGGTTCATTCCGAATATTTCAAGAACTGGAAGCGTCAATTAAATTTCAATATTTTGTTAATGGAGTTCACTTTCATGTAATTACTATAATCAAACTATAGTTGGATCTGTTCCAGTTCAGATCAGTTTCTATCATAACAATTTAGAAAGAAAATAGTAAGAAAACAATTATGAAGGTATAGTTCGACTTATTTTTACATAACTTTAAATAGTTTTATCAAACTTTGCACGTTTCTCCTTTAAAAATTAGTATACTCAATTTTTTCAATAACTTCATTAATTGTTCTGATTGCTTATTATTATTATTATTATTATTATTATTATTATTATTATTATTTGAAAAAACTAATAAATATGGCATAGTTATTAAAAACAAAATATAGCAATGGATATTGGTTCGGTGCGAATATTTAAAAATTGAAATAATTCTTTAAACTTCGGATATTTTGTCATTCGGTTCAATGTAATTTCTGAAATTGGTGATTCTAGTTCTGCAAGTTCTATTTTGCTTATATTGTTTACCGTTTTTGATACTTGTGAATATAAAATATATTTGACCAACATAAATTATAAATTAAACTTTGCCAAGTATGCACTATCATTTTCTTATTTTGTCATTTGCTATGGCACAATAGTACTTTCTGTATGAAGAGTCGTTTAAGCTCTTGTTTAAGTTAAAGTCAAGAATTAATTTTAATCATACTTCATGGACTAAATTTTTTTTAATCATATTGTTTATTAATTTTTATTAAAATCTAATTTTCTCTCAATCAAACGTGGCTTAACATAATACACAAAAATCTGTACTCAGTCATGAGTTTAATTCTACTTATATTTTTTCTATTTTTTTAAAATAAATTTTTAACTAGTACGATCAGGCCACCACCTCATTTAGGAATGACAATCGGGTTCGTCGGCTCTAGTCACCTGTGACTCGGCCTAAAAAAAGCCTGAGCCGGCCCGTGTGGCTCGCCGGCTCAGGCTTAAGGCCTAATTTTTTTTAAAAAATTAAAGGCAGCACTAGGCTGCCTTTATTAATAAATAAAAAAACCAACCCTACCCCTTCTCGGCTCAATAAGGCCCAAGCCGAAAGCTCTGGTCGAGCCTTGATTTCTTGGTGGGGTAAATGCTCAGCTCGAGCTCGCAAAAAAACTCGGACCATTTTACTTGAGTCAAGCCCGAGCCTCGAGTTTCGGCTCGGTTCGTTGACACTGCTAACCTCATTTGACTTGTTGCGGCAAAAAAGTAATTCATTTTAATTTTTTAACCTGTATAGCATGACAAGCATCAAATGACCAAAATGCCCACAGATGTATTATAAGAGAATTATCCGTTCCTTAATTATATTCCTCAAAATGCACCTATTTGACTAAAGAAGATTTATAACTTAACAAAAACTAATACTATTTAATATTAACTTGTAATATGTATACAATAATTCGTTTGTCTACAATCAACTTTTCAGTTCTTAAAATTCCTTCTTAATTTGAGTAAAATTGGACAATGGAGTTACTTTTTTCAACAATTTTTAATTGTCAAGTTCGGAGAGCATAGTGAAAATGCAAAGATTGACTAATGAATGATTTCATGCTAAAATCTTAGGGCGAGTTATTTCCGATCAACAAAAAAGTTTGAGATGCTGAATTGGATGCCCAATAGATAAGAGAAATGAAAAAATATCTTTTAATCCATTTTTACTCGTTTAAATCTTGGTCATCCAAAATTTCATTTCAACTTTGCTCTTACTACTGTCATTTTCGTAATAAAAGTAGTCTACGAATTTAATGTTAATCAAGGTAATTAATTGACAAAGAAGAATGTATTGTTATCTAGCCTGAAGAACCCTGCCTAAAAATATGCATTTTTGTAGATAAAATTCTCTTAAAACTACTAAAATTTGCTTTTATTTTGTACTTCAGTGAATTTCATTGTGTCTAAGTTGATATTGTTGATGATGTTTGAAGATGACTCTATGATTTTGATCGATTAACTGTTGCAAAATAATATTTTGCTTCAAATTAATTAGTTAACATAGAATTATTTTTATTTCACTATAACAGAAGTAGATTTTTATGGCATTCATTTACGGAGTGCATGTCAGGAACGACGTGAAAAGTCTGCTTTTATGGCGTGCTATAAATATGCGCCTTAATAATTCAATTACTTAAAGTATTTATGGCATACGTTTAGGGACGCCTTAAATGGTCTATTATTATGGCGTAATTTTCGAGCATGCCGTAAATGCTTATTTTTTGTGACGTACTTAATGTATGCCATAAAAAATAAGCCAAGTATCGCGAGATTTTTCCTTTTTTTCGAGCTAACCAGATTTTTCCTTCCACATTTTTTTCCTTCCAATTCACAATAGTCCAAGCCCTAAACAAAAGAAAATTAAAACCCGTTAGTCTCTCTCACTACAAGTAATTTATACTTATCCTACAAATTTTTTGGAGACAAATTCAAATTTTGTATGCGGAAATCACTTTTCCCCACAAAAAAAAATAAATAAATAAAATTCGTTGATAGGGGTAGATCTAGGGACGGGCTAAGCTGTGCTAAACACGTCCTTCCAGGACAAATGTTAATTAAAAAAAAGTTAAATTTTTTTTATGTATGAATTTTTTATTTTTTTGCGTATTAGTCGATCTTGAATTTTTTCTTGGATCTACCACTGTTCATAGGACTATGATTGGCTTCAAATTTTTCAATAATGGGAAGACTTGTATCCACAAAAATTTATATTTTTTCCTACAAAAAATTTGATGGTCAAGATATATGTTTTACCAACGAAAATATTTAACTTGTTTGTAGGCTAATAATAGCAAAAAAAAAAAAATATTTCTGATCTTTATTTGTAAATAA